ACGGCGGGGCAGGCGGCGGGGGGGCTCGGCGGGTGGATTCGGAGGGGTCGGCGCGTTGTTTGCAGGGCAGGGGGCTGAGGACGAGCTCTCCGGTTTGCTCGCTGGGTCAGGTTTGGGGCTTTGCCAATTTTCCTCACTGGCTCTGCGGGACCTGCTGCCTCTCCCTTCCCGACCCAGCACGGATCCGGGACGGTCGGGGATCTCGGAGGGCAACGGGATGCAGAGAGTCTGTGTATGGAGGGCACAGGGACAAGGACGGGGATGGGGACGGGGACGGGGATGGGGATGGGAACGGTGATGGGGACAGGGATGGGGACGGGGATGGGGACGGGGATGGGGATGGGGACAGGAGCGGTGGTGGGGAAGGGCGAGGGGGGCCCCTCTCACCCCGATAAATCCGTGCTTGGGATACACGGGAGCAAAACGCTTCCTTCGTTTGTGCCAGCACATCTGTGGGGCTGGAGAGCCCTTTCGGGCAGCAGACCCCACCGCCGGGCATCCCTACAGGGCGGTGGGGCTCCCTCCTGGCAGAGGGGCACAGGCAGACACCAGCGAGGCTCCACAGGCTGCAGGGAAGGCAAAGTGTCCCCGACAGCCAGGGACAGTCTGCGGAGAGCTGGTGGCAGCCGAGTCCTCCAGGTCGGCTTTGCGGGAGGGGGATTACCAAGCCCAGGGTGACGTTTCCCTTCACATTTGCCTTGTTGTGGCATCGCGTCACCGAAACCCAAGGGGTACACTCCGCTCGGGAGGGCCGGGGAAGGTCTGCGTGGGACGAGGACCTTCCTTTGGTTAGAGCAATGGCATTAACTTCAGCTATAAATAGAGAGTCCCCTTCCTCCGGCTGCTTTACCTTGCGGGCAGGGACACGGCACGGGCTTTGTCGCTGCTGCCGGGAGTTTTTCAAAAGTGATAGGAAGAAACGGCCAAAGGAGAAAGCTGCGAGATGGCCGAGACGGCCGTTCCTTCGGAGGGGAGGAGAGTCCCTTCCTGGCAGAGGCAGCCGCGGAAAACATCTACAAAACTTCAAGTGTAACATTAGGAGGAAATGCGTGACCTTTGCAGAACTCCTGGGCGGTCTCAGAGCCCTCCCCACGGCCGTGCCGATCTCAGATAAATCATGGGAAACGTTGATTTAAGAGGTGTAGAATATCTACCTCTTCTATAGGCACAGACAGTATAGACAGATATCTATAGAATCAGAATTTAGGTGAAAGTCTAGAAGTACTTGGATGAGAAGAGGCAAAGCAGGCCAACTTTTGGAACAGGATTAAAACGCGGTGTCTGAGAGCGGCCCCGGGCGCGCGGGGGGAGGACGGCTCCGCTTCTCACCGAGGGCCGTCCCCGCGCCGTCCCGTCCCCGCGCGTGTCCCTGCGCCCCACAGCGATGCCCTGACGCAGCGCCGCGGGGTGAGTGCCCTCTGCGGGGTGCTGCGGGCTGGGACAGCGGGATGTCAGCTGCGGCCACAGCCTGTAATTCTGCACACAGCCGGAACCGACGGGGTCCGAACCTCTTCATCCCCACCAGGAACTGGGTTATGTCGGTACTGATCAAAGATGCTGGCAGCGGACCTTGCAGAGGCTCTGCTCCAGCTTGGAAAAAAAAACAAAAACAACAGAGTTTTGCTCAACTTTGGGAGTCTCCTTGGGAACCATGGCCTCGGTCAGCATCGCAGCGTGCGGATCTGCGGGCTGAGGTCGGCGCGGGAGAGGTTGGTACCGCCTTGTACCAAAGAGCAGAGCATCTCGAAAGGCTCGCCTTGTCGCCCGGAGACCGGCCCGCATCCCGGGAGGAAAACCGGCTGAGCAGCCCTCGGCGGCAGCGCCGGCGGCGCGGCTCGTGAGTAACCGCAGTCCCGGGAGAGGGGCTGGGACGCAGATGAAAGGAACCGTTTTATTTTCTGGTAAACAACTGTGTTTTTGTCATCTCTGCTTTTATCAAGCCAAAATGACTTTGTTTATGCACCGGCATCGTCGGCTGATGTCAGCCCCGCTCTGGGAATAGTGTGTGGTGGCTAATTGCTGCTGCGGCGTCACTGGGGGGAGAGGAGACCGAAATACCCCGTCTGGGTTTGCTTCTCCTGCTTCTGCGGTGGAAAGGGCCGTCTTTGCACAGAAAGGAACCCCGGGAGGCTTTCCCGGCGGGTCTCACCTCCTGACGTTGCTTTTTAAAAGCGATAGTTGGGGTCTTTACGGCTCCTGGGAGAGCCGGAGGCCACTGGTGCTCCATGCTGGCCGTGCACGCCGACGGGCTGGTGCGAGGGACGGGGGCGTTGGTGGCTTGAGGCTCTGGTGGGGGGACTCTGTAGGTGCGCACCGGTAGGGTTGGGGTCGGTGTGAGGTGTCCTGGTGCAGGGGACAGGAGCTGCGGGTTGCCTTTTGCCAGCAGAGGTCCAGCAAATGGCTGTCTCCTCTCCCGCTCCGCAGGGATGTGCCGGTGCAGGAGGTAGGGATGGAGTGCCGGGGGGATCCCTCCGTGCTCAGGGGGGGGCTCCAGGTCACTTCACGTGCAGATGGCCGGTCTCAAATTTTGATCTTTAGCTGAAATCGTTCTAAAAAGGGCTGGGGGAGGGAAGGGAATTAATCTTCATACCAAAACAGCTTAAAATCAACCCAAAATCTGTAAAGCCCTGCAGTTTAAGCCCTATCAAGAGCAAAAAATAAGAGAGAGGCGGCAAAGCCCCGCCGGCTCGGCTGGGCTGTACCAAACAGTGCCGGGTTTGGAGCGTTCGGTGCCCCGGGGGCTCTCTGACCTTGCGGAGGTTTCGTTTCCAGCCCGGTGACGGCCGAGGAGAGGAGCAGGGGTGAGCAGGGAGAGCCCTTTGCACCTTCTGCCAGGGAGGAGACATCCCCTGGCGAGGCGGCAAAACAGCGAGCGGGAGCTGGTATAAATAATCCTCCCCATCCCCGTGCTGGCCGGGCGGCGCGGCTGCGGCTTTGCAGGCTTGTCCCCAGGGGGTTCAAGCCTAAAGGGTGGGAGAACTAGAGGTTTGGGTGGGAGTGGAGTGCTCAAAGTGGGGAGAGGAACGGGATTATGCATGGGGGGGGGACAAGGACAGTTGAGCTATAGCGCATGTGTTTGGCTTCCATCCCCCAGCAAGGTCCCTTGGCATGTCAGGCCAGGTTGTCGCCCTCTGTAATAACACCCCTCGGTGCTTTTGAGAGCTCGCTGGAGTGTTTATTTAACGGAGACATTCCCCAAGCACTGAGGCTGTAGGCGGCGATGCTTGCGTTGTACCTTCTCCCGGTTAAAATGTAGTCCTGCGGGAGGATTTCTTGCTGTTGGCCGCGGCCAGGGGTGGCAGAGGTGTGGGTGCTGGTGGTGCTGCGGCAGGGCTGCGGTTGCCTCTCCCCCTCTTCCATTGCATCCCTCACTCACACAGCGGGGGATCCCCCGGGGGTGGCAGAGGTGTGGGTGCTGGTGGTGCTGCGGCAGTGCTGCGGTTGCCTCTCCCCCTCTTCCATTGCATCCCTCACCCACACAGCGGGGGATCCCCCGGAGACCCCCGATCCCACGCAGCGGGAACGGGGACCCTTCCCCACCGCCGGTAACCGAACTCCTTCCTCTCCCCATCCCCAGCAGCAGCAGTGCCGAATCCTTAGACCGGCTGTACCCCGCGGTGGGCTCCACCAAACCACCCCGAAAGCGGACCACTAGCCAGTGCAAGTCGGAGCCACCCCTGCTGCGGACCAGCAAGAGGACCATCTACACAGCTGGCCGGCCACCGTGGTACAATGAGCACGGGACACAGTCCAAAGAGGCCTTCGTGATAGGTAGGCAGAGGCAGCTCTGTCCCACTTCTGTGCTTCAGCCGGGGAAGACTAGCACGGGCAGCGTCGGTGCTGCCTGCCCGGTGGCTCTCCAGGAGATCTTGGGGGGATTCCTGCCCCACAGCCTCTTTGGAAACTTGAGGTTGGCTCCAGTCTCCGGGTCGTGAGCTGCTCAGCCCGGACAGGAGCGGGGAGAGTCCCCATGGTTAGTCCAGCGTTGACTGGGTGAGCCGTAGGGTCGGGCAGAAGCTGAGAGCTTGCAGCTGGAGGTGATGGATTATTGCAGGCACTGGGGCAGATCACAATCTTTGCCGGTTGTTCCCTCAACTCTTGTTGCCTGGGTTGTCACGAGTTCCCAGGGATTTAGTCTAGGCTGGTTCTCATGCCAGCTCTCCCCTTGTTACACAACCCTCTAACGAAGGGTTTCCCAGCTTTTGCTGTGCACGTTGCTGGCAGTTCCAGTACGTGCCGTTTGACATTTTCAAGGATAATCTCTCTCTCTTGTAGCGCCTCTCGATCCCCCTCTTTGTAGATCCCTCCAACTTAGTACAAGAGAGCAGTACCTGGGCTTGTGCTGGGAAAGGCAGAGTGTGGGGTTGGTGGCTTCATCCCTTTTTTCCCTGGCAGGCCTGGGAGGAGGCAGTGCCTCTGGGAAGACCACGGTGGCCACCATGATCATTGAGGCTCTTGATGTCCCTTGGGTGGTTCTGCTGTCCATGGACTCCTTCTACAAGGTGAGGCTGCGTGTTGTCCTGGCCAGGCTCCTTGGGCTGCCGTGGCCCTTGGCATAACCCTCTAATGGAGAAACGCGATGTAGATTTAGCCACAGCCTCAGGGTTTCTCCTTCAGACGGTTCTTGGGGCAGGGGGAGAGGTTGCTGGGCATGGCAGTGGGGAGGGAAGACTGCCGGTGGGATGGCCACGTGGACCAACCCCTTCTCTGTGGGCAGGTGTTGACCAAGCAGCAGCAGGAGCAGGCAGCCAGCAATGACTTCAACTTTGACCACCCCGATGCCTTTGACTTTGACCTCATCATCGCCACCCTGAAGAAGCTGAAGCAAGGCAAGAGCGTGAAGATCCCCATCTACGACTTCACCACCCACAGCCGGAAGAAGGAATGGGTACGGGACACTGGGGGGGGGGTGGGACAAGGTGGGGGGACTGCCAAGGTAGGAGAGGGAGGTGTCGTTTGGACCCCTCAGCCTTTTGCAGTCAGAGTCCTGCAGTAGCCCTCTGCTCTGTGGCTGGCTCAGGGCACATTTTTCGGGTGAGCTGTCGCCGTCACTAACAACCCGGAGAGATTCTTTGGGATGGGGCATCTCTGAGCATGTGTTCTGTGTCTTAACCGCAGCCATTTTGACTCCACAGAAAACCCTATATGGCGCCAACGTGATTATCTTTGAAGGCATCATGGCGTTCGCGGACAAGGAGCTCCTGAAGGTGAGGAAGGGTTTGGAATCGGTTCTGGGGAAGCCTGACAAGCGCAAGTGCTGCAGCCCCCTCTTCTGCAGCCTTATATCAGAGCACAAAGAGAGTCCCAGGTGCCCTGTGCACCTCTGGAGGGGACCCTGTCCTCTCACAGTGCTTCAGCATCACCCCTACAAACCAGCCCTCCACCAGCTGGGGGGAGACAGTGGGAGCATGCTTTCTCCTGAGGTCCAGCAGCAGGGAGATGACCTTCTCTTCCAGATTACACCAGCTGCTGCAGAACTTCACTGCGCAGGAGAAACAGGTCTCGACTCTCGCGGGGAAAGAGCTCCCAGCAGAGGTCAAGCGTTTCAGCAGAGATCTTGATCTCAGCCATTCGTTCCCAGGAGCTAGGAGCCAAGTGGTGACCTGGTCCCTGGCAGCGGTGGTGCAGAAATATAACTAGAAATTGCCCACCTCAGTGCTGCATGCCACAGCTGGCACAGGCAGAAGCAGAGTCTGCTGTACTTCTACTGGGCAAAGCCTGGTGTTTCTAGGGTGGCCTCATCCAGCACTTCAGGCTTTGCTGGGAATTTTTTGGATCCGTGAAAAATGCTGTAGGAGGGAGTGAGCCGTGCAGAAACTTAGCCAAACTCAGTCTAGAAAGTTTTCTTCCCTGCCAAGCGAGCGTTTGGGTTGCACTTTCCTGGAGCAACGATGACCTCCAGTGGACAGCTGGGTAAATCCCCCAGGAGTTTCCTCCGAGCATCCCCGCTCTCCTCTCTCTTGGCTCCCCTCCAGCATTAACGAGCCAGCGCTCCTGGGCTCAGCCTGTTGGTCTGTGCCGCGGGCATTAACTTCTCTTGTCTCCTCCTCGCTCTTGAATAACATCCAGGCAATGTGCTGGGGCTGCTTAGAAGTGGAGACAAGGTTTGGAGCCGGAGAGGTCTCTGGGGGCATGTGAGCAAGGGGCAAGTGGCAGCAAGGGACTCACTGCGGCAGCTGTGCTGCCAGCCAGGTTCAAGTTCAAGGGCTGCAGAGGCAAGAGCTCCCTCCAGGCTGGAGCAGAGCTGAGCGGAGCTCTGTTAAACCAGTGTTGTGCTGTGCGCAGGGCTCAGCCTTCTGGTTGTGGCTGGTGGAGAAGGTCTGTTGGAGGTACACACTTAACCTGGTGGGGTTTGTTCCCTCCCCTCTCCTTCCAGCTCCTTGATCTGAAGATATTCGTGGACACAGACTCGGACATCCGCTTGGTGCGTCGCTTGCGCAGGGACATCAGCGAGCGTGGCCGTGACATTGAGGGTGTCATCAAGCAGTACAATAAGTTTGTCAAGCCCGCCTTCGACCAGTACATCCAGCCCACCATGCGGCTGGCCGACATCGTCGTGCCCCGAGGTACCTGCCCAGGGCTGCCCCGAGCTGCCCCAAGGCTCAGTCCTGAGCAGGACATGAGAGACCCTGTCCCTCTGCCCGCAGCTCTGCTGGCCAGTCCCACTGCCCTCTGGCTGGTGAGGACAGAAGAGTGGCTGTCCCATGCCAAAACAAAGGTCCCTCCAGCCGAGTGTCTCCAAACACCGGCCGAAAGCAGATTCCTGGGGGAAAGTCTGCACTTTTCCCTCAACCAGTCTCCTGCCCTACCAGCTCCTGCAGCTTAGTGATTTAAAAGCTAGAGGTGACTTCTAGATCATAGAATCATAGAATGGTTTAGGTTGGAAAGGACCTTGAAGATCATCGAGTTCCACCCCGCTGCCCTGGGCAGGGACACCTCCCACCAGCCCAGGTTGCTCCAAGCCCCGTCCCCTCACAGGAAAGAATTTCTTCCTCATATCTCATCTAAATCTCCCCTCTTCCAGTTTAAAACCACTACTCCTCATCCTATCGCTATACTCTGTGATCCAGAGTCCCTCCCCAGCTCTCCTGTAGCCCCTTTAGGCACTGGAAGGGGCTCTAAGGTCTCCCCGGAGCCTTCTCTTCTCCAGGCTGAACACCCCCAACTCTCTCAGCCTCTCCTCCCAGCAGAGGGGCTCCAGCCCTGTGCTCATCTTTGTGGCCTCCTCTGGCCCCGCTCCAACAGGTCCACGTCTTTGCTATGTTGGGGGCTCCAGAGCTGGACGCAGTACTCCAGGTGGGGTCTCACGAGAGTGGAGTAGAGGGGCAGAATCCCCCCTCACCCTGCCGGCCACACTTCTTGTGATGCAGCCCGGGATGTGGTTTGCCTTCTGGGCTGCGATCGCACATTGCCGGCTCATGTTGAGCTTCTCATCAATCAGCACCCCCGGGTCCTTCTCCGCAGGCCTTTTCCCCAGCCGTTCTCTGCCCAGCCTGGATTTGTGCTTGGGATTGCCCCAACCCAGGTGTAGGACCTTGCATTTGGCCTTGATATTCAATAATAGACTATTAAATAAGAATTTAATAATAGCGTGAGCATCTCCTGCTGGAGAATGCTTTGGTAGGGAAGGGGAAGCAGGGGCACGGTGTGGTTGTGAACATCGCGGGGGACTTGGGGAAGAAACGGGCAATGTGGTTCTGACCGGACTGTCTCACTTTTGCTTCTGGTTCACTCCAGGGAGTGGAAACACAGTGGCCATCGACCTGATCGTTCAGCATGTCCACAGCCAGCTGGAAGAGGTAAGAGCTGCCTGGGTCCCCAGGGTGTTAATGGTGGGGTCAACCCTGACGGTGCAGCGGTGGCATTGCAGGAAGCAGGGCTGTGGGTGCCAAGGTGGGAAAGGCCCGGCTTCCCTCCATGCGTGTGAGCCACGGGGCTGTCCCCATGAACTCCTCCCAGCCCTGCTCCCTCCGTTTCAGCGAAGGAGACTGCCTCGTCCCTCTGCTCTGGTTAGCGCAAGGCTCCTCGGCAAGCTGCGGTCCAGCAGCGGCTTCCATCCCTCCCTGGGAGACCAAGTCATCTGGGGACAAGCCAACCGTCCTCCAGCGATCCGAGTGATGCGCCCTCCCTGCCCGCAGCCCTTACGGGGCCGTCATCGCCCCAAACCCTCCGACCCTTCAGCTCTCTGGCTCTGGCTTCTCCTCTTCACCCCCCTGCAGACACTGCTGCACAGTCTTTCCAGTCAAGAGCCCACTTTTCCAATTCAAAACCCAAAGTCTTGTCGTGTTGGAGGCCCAGCCTGAGCCCCGATCCAGGCACGTGCTCCATCACTTCCCCATCACTGAGTTTAACAAGTCTTCTTCTGTGTGTCCTGGGCCAGTCCTGACCAGAGGTTTGAGCCTGGGACCCCTGGATCGCATGACCCTGTTGCGTGTTGCTGTTCCCTGAGCAGCACAGCCCTCTCCCGCCCCACCTTTGTAGCTTTGATATTTAAGTCGTGGCGATGCTCAGGGCGATGTCCTGGGAGGTGGAAAGAGCATGAGGCGGAGGTGGATGAACTTGAAAGTAAAGGGCTCGATTCCTGCAGGCCTTTCTGAGCTCCCAGACGGCCGGTGCTGCTCGGCCCCTGGACGGGAGCTGGTCTGCGACAGCATCGTGCCTCCCATGCCCGCTCAGGAGCGACCGCTCCGGTGCAAAGGCGCGTTGGCGGGTTCTCCTTTCCCGGAGCATCCCGCTGTCGGGGCTTTCTGACTGCCGGCATTTACAGTGCTAAGCTCTGGCAGGTCGGGAAGTTGGTTCCTTGCTCACAGGAGCGAGGATGGGAGCTCCAGCATCATCAGCGCCGGGGCTGAGGAGGGCAGGCGGCTGTGGGCGCAGGGCAGGAGGGGGGAAATGGCTGTTTCTCCCAACCCCTGGGATCTGGCAGCGAGCAAACACGGCCGCTGAGCCCCGGAGCGTTGCTGTGAGCTAGAGGCGAGGGGTTGGCGAGGGGGGGGTGGGGTGGGTTCGTTTACCTGGGGAGGGGAAGAAGGGGAAAAGGCTACATGGGAATGCAGGAAAATATTCCTATTTTTCCTTTTCTTTTATCTTGAAACGACCCTGGTGTTGACAATGCTTAATACCGGTTGCATTGTGTCTTTGTGTTGCTGCCGCAGCGTGAACTCAGTGTCAGGTAAGAGCCCCTCACTCTGTCCTGTCTGTGCAGCCCGAGGCATTTCCAATGCCAGGCACTGCTTGGCTTAACCCTGCCCTGCCGCCGAGACCGACACCTCGCGTAACGGACGGCCTCGTCACGCTCCAAGCTGACGAACGGCCGCCTTGTCCTGAGCTTTGGTACCAGCCGGGACCAGGGATGGATCCGTCCGGCCCTGAGCGCAGCTGGGGCAGGGCCAGGTTTGTTAGCCGGGGACCCCCCCATCTCTGCAAGAAGTAAGGGGGCTTTGCGTCCTGGGATTCTCTTTTATTTCCCTTCATCCTCTAAGGCGAACGGTTGTTCAGAGCCGCTCTCCATCCCTGCTGATTAAACGTCGCTAAACATCAGTTATTAAGTTAAACGAAGCGGCTCAGGGGTGGTGGGCGCCCCGGGTCCCTCGCCGCCGCAGAGGCTCTCGGCCGTCATCCTGATGGCACCTCATGGCTTCGGCGTGGCCAGAGGTACCCGCTTCCCTGCAGTGTCTAAAGATTATACACCAACTATTTGGGGACCGAGGAAATACTTCTGCCCTAATCCAGCAGGATTTCCGGTTTCTCGGTATCTGCAGGTGGATGCTATAAAGTATACATTGACTTACTTAACCTCTTCAGCGTGTGGATCCAGATGGGACTTTAGCTGTCTTGCTTCCATTAAGCAGCCAGCTACGTTTCCAGGTATTTTTGTAGGAAGCAGAGGGGATGCATTACTGTAAATAGGTTTCCATTTAGATCTCCATCATTGCATGGAGACACTTAACTCAAGTAACCCTAAAATTTACATTTGGCATAAAACAAGCTTTTAAAATACCTGAGATGAGCCGGAAAAAGGCTCTGCTTTACTTATTTCTGCTTAAGCCATTCATTTCCTAGACACGGCAACTGGATGTTTTATTTTATTTCTGTTTGCTTGTTTAACACCATGGGGTCTGACATTTCGGTACAGACAGTATAAGCTTCCCTGGGTGTCTGGAGATCCAGGTGGGAAGGTGCTCTTTAGCCTGGAGAGAAGTCTGTTGCTTTAAAAAATTGCAGGAATAACATCAGAGAGTAGACTAATGTGTGTGTATGTATATATGTATATATTCTCGTGTGTGTATGTGTATATATGTATATACACACAGATATAAAACTTTCTTTCTCTCCGGTGATTCTCCTCTTTAATCAAAGTGGCACTCAGTACAGGTGACCTTTTTGTGCACCTTAAAAATCAGGTATTTAATAATATGTCAAGAAAGCATTAGTAGTTTTATGATAGCAAGTTTGGAAAGGTAACTCTGACCTCCAGAAATAACTCTGTGATAACCACAGCCACAGACATTTATACGTTCTGTTTAAGGCTTGTGGTTTCTATTTATGCCTTTGCCAGAATGTCTGGAAAATATTTCCTGCAAAAAAAAAAAAAGAAGAAAAAAAATCTGTTTACACTCCTGGAGTGCCAGTGCTTTTCCTGCTGCTGCGGTTTCCCGTCAGCTCCTCTGCGGGTCTGCGCTCGCAAGAGGAGCGAGGTGGATGGAGGGACGCGTGTCGAGCGAGATGCGCTCGGCAAATATGGGGCTTTTCGTCTCAAACAATTCCCTATCCTCCTGTCTTGAATGGCTTCATCTAAATGTCACGGTTGTTGCTCTGATGTCACTGCCTTTTGGCGGCCGTGGGGACGCAGCGAGGCCTTTGTAGCTGGTCGAATAAAACCTGGATGCTCAGATCTGGCCCCAGTCCGAGGTACTTCTGTGGTCCCTGCGGTCCAGGCTGGCCCTGGGCTGCCTCTCCTGACCCAGAGGGTGGCGGGGGGCGCCTCTCCCCGACTCTCAGCTGATCAGATGGGTGAATTCTGAGGCGTTTGAAGAAAGTGGTGCTGTTCCCTGGACCTGCAAGGGTGGTTATTTTTCCCCTCCTGTAACTGCTGGCTGCTGAGGAGCATCGTTGCCATCCTCTGTATTCCCTCAGAGCGCAGGTCAGATCGTAGGGTCCTTGCAGTTGGGATGTTTCTTGTCCAGCTTCCCACATGTTTAACCGTGCATGTGCTGGAGATGTAATTACGTGCAGGCGCTCCCTCTCCATCCGTGCCCAGGTGAGTATTCCTCCTCGAGCCCGGCAGCAGGAGCCGTCCCGGTGAAGCCGTGCCCGCCACGGCACAGTGCTCTCAGCCCAGCCCGCTTCCCGTCCCTCCTGCCCCGCTGCTCCAGCACCCAGCCCCGCGCTCGGAGCCAGTGCTCTTTCCAGCCCGATTCCCCTCGCCAATCAATATTCCCCACCCCCGAGGTCTCGAGCAGCTTGGCGTGCCCTTTGCCAATTGTGTCTTTAAATATCAACCCGTAGCGCAGTTTAACAGCCCTTGTTTGAAATGTCAGCCGTGAAAGCCAGCCGCTGTACGTGTTTGAAATGCCTTGACTGCATTAGCTTCTTTGTAGCTGGATGTCTCTTGTCTGCTTCCTGCTTGATAGCATGCTCAACAAAGAGCTGAGGATGTTCCCTGAAGCCTTCCTGAGAGATGGTCACCCCTTTCTCTCTCTTTTTCTTTC